CGGTGCTGTTGACCATCAGCTGGCTGAAGTAGTCGCGCATCTCCTTCAGAGCCAGGTCGCCGTACAGCCAGTTGGCCACCGCCAGGCCAAAGATGGCAAACAGGCCGCAGACAATGAAGTAGACGTACGACTTCAGCAGATACGAGGACTCGCAGGCAGCGGCGGCAAAGCCGGTCAGCGAAGCCGTGGCGATGATCACGCCCAGAATGATAAATACAGTAGAGACGGTGGACCAGGTGAAGCCGAGAATGTAGCTGCCCTCGTGCTCCTGCTCGGGAACCAGAAACTTGTGGGTGCCCACAAGAATGAGGCACACCGCCACGGCCACAAAGATGATGTTCCAAATGCAGAGGATCACCTTGGCGATTGAGCCACCGAAGGAAGTCATCGTGGTGGAGTAGTAGATGCGAGGGTAAATGACAAACAAACGATTAGAGGTTTCCGATGAAGAAGAAAGTTGAGGAGCTTTCAAACCGACTGAATCGTACTGGTGAAGTGCTGTGTCATAGATTGAGTGCTGTCTGTTTTAGTAAGCAATGCTGACGAGCCGTGATAAAAGTTCGAAAAGATGAAAAAACTGCAGATGCGCAGTAAACATTTTTGTTTTACATAATTTTTTTCATCAAGTGCAATTTCGGGAGAGCAAACTTTTATCATCGTCGGCATCTCAGAGGTGTTCCAGTGTCAGGAGGTGACCATTGGTGATTATCATCATCTCCACGGTTTGAGGAAGCTTCTGATGTTCAAACTGGTCAAAATAAACAAACTGACTACTGAGGTTACTTTGACGCGGGCACCAGTAATTTTAAACAATCTTTATTATCTGTTTTGACAGTACAACATAAATTCATTGAAAGTACAATATAATACGACACTACAACATTTTTTAATAAATTTTAATAAGGAATGTACTGAGCCAAACAACCTTCCAGGTTCTTTATGCAATCCTGACGAGTTTTTCCATTAATTAAAATCCATGGAACCTCAAATTTGCTTACACGGTTTCGAATAAGTTCAGTTTTGTTTCTGTTATGTTTATTCCAATTCTCACCGTTTGGTCCATTAGCGCAATCATATAATCCATCCCAGCCTCTCAAATTCATATTTTCAACACAATTTTTTGCTTTATCAGCGATATTTTTACTATGGTCATTGTACATGCATACCATAAATTGGAGTGATTGCATTGTATTTTGATCGCGAGCAAACAGACAAGCTTGTATGGCATTGCCGAAGCACTCCGAAGGACCATGCTGACATTTAATTTGCCCATTCGCCATAACGTTAGTATTGCCTGAAGGTATAAGCTCAACATTGATTTTGTTTTTATAAAGGCTGTACACAGGGATAAGCTGTTTGCTGAAAAATTGTTCACAAAAATAACAAAGTGATTCATAGTAGACAGAAACAGTTACCGCGTTTGCAGCACTCAAGTTAGAATTGATTAATAGGATCCCAAAAAGGGCAAAAAGTAGGCAAAATTGAAACTTCATTTTGGCAAATGAGTTGATGAAATATTGTAAATCTGCCAGTCTTTATATACTGTCAAAAAATGTTTTTTCTATTTTTATGAACAAGTATTGCACTTGTTTTTCTTTAAAGGTCAAAGCTGGTTGGCTATTACTGTGCATGTTCTAGATAAAGTTAAATTGTTAATTTTGCTTGACATTACCAAGACAGTCAGCTAAAAGTATAATTAGGTATTTTGTTTAGCATTCGTGTCCTTGGATTGGTCGCCAAACTTTTNTTGTTTTGACAGTACAACATAAATTCATTGAAAGTACAATATAATACGACACTACAACATTTTGTAATAAATTTTAATAAGGAATGTACTGAGCCAAACAACGTTCCAGGTTCTTTATGCAATCCTGACGAGTTTCTCCATTGATTAAAATCCATGGAACCTCAAATTTTCTTACACGGTTTCGAATAAGTTCAGTTTTGGCTCTGTTATGGTTATTCCAATACTCGCCGGTTGGTCCTTTAGCGCAATCATATAATCCATCCCAACCTCTCAAATTCAAAGTTTCAACACAATTTTTTGCTTTATCATAGATATTTTTACTATGGTCATTGAACATGCATACCATAAAGTGGAGGGATTGCATTGTATTTTGGTCACGAGCAAACAAACAAGCTTGTATGGCATTACCAATACACTCCGAAGGACCATGTTGACATGTAATTCGGCCATTTGCCATAACGTTAGTATTGCCTGAAGGTATAAGCTCAACATTGATTTTGTTTTTATACAAGCTGTAAACAGGAATAAGCTGTTTTTTAAAAAATTGTTCACAATAAGGACAAAATGATTCATAGTAGACAGAAACAGTCACTGCGTTTGCAGCAGTCAAGTTAGAATTGATTAATAGAATCCCAAAAAGGGCAAAAAGTAGGCAAAGTTGAAACTTCATTTTGGCAAATGAGTTGATGAAATATTGTCAATCTGCTAGTCTTTATATACTGTCAAAAACTGTTTTTTGCTATTTTTATGAACAATTATTGCACTTGTTTTTCTTTAAAGGTTAAAGCTGGTTTATTACTGTGCATGTTCTAGATAAAGTTAAATTGTCAATTTTGCTTGATATAACCTAGACAGTCAGCCAAAAGTATATTTAGGTATTTTGTTTAGCATTCGTGTCCTTGGATTGGTCGCCAAACTTTTTACAAGCTACATGATGATTTTAAATGGTATCTTAGAGCAAGCAAAGTATTTCTAGCTTTTATTGCTTACTGCTCAAATGGAAAGTTATTCAATGCCATGTTATATTGCAAAAAAAGTTTACACGTGTACTTTATTAGAAATTCAGTCATCAGCAGCAACAATTAAAAGAACGGAAGCTTTTTGAAGCACTTTTCAGCTGGCATAGACAGACCCAGATCAGCCTGCTTGCATTCGGGCTGATTTTTAGGCAGATAGTTCTTGCACAGGTAACCAAGCAAGTTTGCCAGGCACTTGTTCTCTAGATCCTCAGTGTGCACTAAATTTTTAATCAAAGTTAAAAAAAGAAACTACTCAAGTGGAAAAATCAATTTACCTCCATTGATTAGAATCCAGGGCACGTACTGGTGAGCAGGGTTTAAGGCGTCCGTCTTGGCCTTGTTGGCGGCAATCAGCTTAGCGCCTTGCGGCCCATTAGCACAGGCAGACAGTGAGCTCCAATCGAGTTTCAGGTCATCGGCACACTTCTTCGCTGCCGAGTGGGTGTCATCAGAGTTGGGCTGTTCAATCATGCAGGTGATGAAGGTGAGCGACTGCTTCGCATCACCACCGTTGGCGAATAGCAGACAAGCCTGAACGACGTTACCGTAGCACTCTTCCGGACCGTGCTGACACTCAATCGTTCCGTTGACCTCCATGGCGTTGCCGTACGGCACCAGCNTTTAGCGCCCTGAGGCCCATTAGCACAGGCAGACAGTGAGCTCCAGTCGAGTTTCAGGTCATCGGCACACTTCTTCGCTGCCGAGTGGGTGTCATCAGAGTTGGGCTGTTCAATCATGCAGGTGATGAAGGTGAGCGACTGCTTCGCATCACCACCGTTGGCAAACAGCAAACAGGCCTGGACGACGTTACCGTAGCACTCTTCCGGACCGTGTTGACACTCAATCGTTCCGTTGACCTCCATGGCGTTTCCGTACGGCACCAGCTCAACGTTCACCAGAGTGTCCAGCTTTTGGTACGTCGGCACTAGCTGCCCGGTGATGAAATCATGGCAGCCAGGGCAGAGGGACTCGTAGTACAGCGAAATCAGCGGCGGCTTGGACGCCGACAAAATCGATTTAGCGTTCAGAGCACCGAGCAAGGCAAAAAATAGGCAAAGTTGGAGCTTCATTGTGTGTTGGCTGTCTTCTGTGTTTGGGTATTTTGAATAGCGCTACAAGTGATTATTTGCTGGATGTGCTTTTTATATGACTGAAAAGACGTGAGATTTTGGCGTCTGTTGACAGACTGACTTCTGGGCAAACAGCTGTAGCCTTTCACAGAGTATTGCACAGAGTCTCTGTTATCTGGCGAATATTATCTAGTTTAAGTGCGCTGCTGATAAACTCACATGTTTTTAGTTGTCTACCAAACAATATCTTCAGGTAAAGTATTTCATCTCAGCCTCTATTTATAATAGAAAAGTACGTTTAGGTTTCGTTGGGTCGGCCATCTGCCACAACTCCCCCGGCTGATTGGTTGCCCAGCACAACACCGCAAAAGTAAAAACTCAGTTTGTAACTGGGCTCGATTGAGTCCTCTTCACAAGGGAAGGTTGTGTTAACCGTAAATGTATGCAAAACAAGTTTAAGTACTTGTCATTTTATTTAACGTCATTGTGTTTCTAGATGTCTACAATTGAACAGTAGCATCACATGTTTTGTATAAACTTGATGTTATCAGCAATGATTAGAAGAAACAAAAACGACAGATTGTTTCAATTGATTTGCGTCGAGGGGAAAAGTAGTCAAACTATTTTTGAACTAATTTGCCAACTAAAGTACAATGGCAACTTGTTTTTGATCAGATGAGAGCACTAAAATTCATGTAAATTTATTTATTTTTACATTGTTAGNGTTTTGTATAAACTTGATGTTATCAGCAATGATTAGAAGAAACAAAAACGACAGATTGTTTCAATTGATTTGCGTCGAGGGGAAAAGTAGTCAAACTATTTTTGAACTAATTTGCCAACTAAAGTACAATGGCAACTTGTTTTTGATCAGATGAGAGCACTAAAATTCATGTAAATTTATTTATTTTTACATTGTTAGATAACATTCGTTAGATAACATTTGAACATTTTTTAGCGTTTGTGATCTTTTTAAAAATGATCAAGTTTAAAAGTATTTGTTTGAGAAACATAATACAAAATAGTTTTAAAACTTGAATACTTTGGTTTTTGAACTTTAAACTTTGACATTGCTTTTTTACTCTGCATACTAAAAATACTAATTGGCATTACTTAAACATTAATTGTCAATGATTAGGAGAGGATTTGTTGCTTTTCACCAATTGATTAGTCCAGTATATCTTCTTTGCTTGCAATCCTCTGTTGTGTCTGCCATCTCAAGTGTGCGTATTTGTGCATCGTCTACATTTCCAATAGATAAGTGAGCAAAGTCAACTAATCTGTCATAGCACATTGATTTGATAGGCTGCTCTACGAACAGAAAGAGTACCAAAAAGACTCGCGTGTCTTCTCTACCTTCGCACATTGAGGCCCCTAATAATGGTCTCTCCTTTAGGCAATCTCAGCTGGCCAAAATCTGATGGATAATCTGTCGGCACGATCGTCTATGTCACTGTCTCACCGCAGGTGGCCATAAATCATTGACTGTAAATAATCCTCAGTTGAGGATGCCTCTCCATTGCCAAAACTACCAGTCACCAGTGACTCCCAGTGCGATTGGAATTCTACCGGCAAGTGATGCTCATCATCACTGTCATTGCACTTACTTTTTGTGCGTAAAATCATCCACAAGTTAGCACAATTTGCATGTCAATGAGAAAAAACTAAAGTTACTACTTTTCTAACTTTTCTGGTAACTGAACCAGCGTTTTAACTGTCAACAACAGTACTTCAAAACAATAGCAAACATGAGCATTGAAAGTTTGGCAAAGTCGATGGTTCCGAAAGACAAGTAAGTGCAAAGTAAAATATTTTTTCAAAACTTAACTTTTTTGTCGTTTCAGATGGAATTTCGTTTTCATCATCTTTCTAATTAATGGAATTGGCACACTTTTTCCCTGGAACATGCTCATTAATGCAGATAATGTGAGTCTTTATACAAATTCTTTTACAAATTTTTTATCGTTTTTACTTTTAGTACTTTGTCAACTTCAAGTTAAACGTCACTGTCCCGTCAGAGGCAGTCACCGACTACCGAAACCACTTTCTAAGCTATCTCGGAATCGCCTCTAAAGCGCCGAACATCTTTCTTCAGTTGCTGAACTTGTTCATCAATGCAGAAGGCGCCAACTTCAGTCTTCGCATTATCATCACACTTGCCCTTCAAATAGGCGTCTTTCTGTTCATCATCGGCACTGCAGCCGTAAACTCTACTTCTTGGCCAGGACTCTTCTTCTGGTTGACTATGGGTTCGGCAGCGGCAATCAACACGGCCAACGGCGTTTACCAAGGTAATGGTTTTTTTATACAAAAACATTTTTTTGACGACTAACTGTTTACTTCAGGCTGTATCTACGGTATTGCCAGTCGATTCCCAGGAACTTACATCAACGCAATCACCATTGGAATGAATCTCAGTGGAATGATTGCCAGTGTTCTGATGTTGATCTCAATTTCCGTCAGTCATAATTCTCAAATGGAGGCCATCGTATTCTTCTCATTTGCAGTTGTCCTCCTGGCAGTATGCCTGGTGGCAGAGTTTTTCATTATCAAAAGTGTAAGCTAAAAAGTTGACGGTTTAGTTTGACCATTTTTATTTAAAATTGACTTGTACATTTTAAACAGAACTTTTACCAGTTTTACGCTCATTTCAAGAAAACTGATCAGTCTGCCGTTGAGTTTCGGGAGGGAGAGGAGCCAAAAGAGACAATTGAAATCAGTGTTTCTGAGCTGAAGCCCGAAAATCTTCCTCCCCTTTCCAAGTACCTCTTCGTCATTCGCTGCATTTGGCCCCAACTACTGAACATTTTGCTCATCTACATCGTTTCGTTGTCCATCTTCCCGGCGGTGGCCGCCCGAATACCCTCCACCGATGGTCTGCTCAATGAGCGCTACTACTCCTCGGTTTTCTGCTTTCTCTTCTTCAACGTCTTCGTCACTGTGGGCAGCGCCACGGCGCAGTTTGTGCAGTGGCCGGGGCCTCGGTGGCTGGTGCTGCCAGTGCTGTTGCGAGTTGCCTTCATTCCCTTCTTCCTCTACTGCAACTACCAGCCGAGTGATACGTTGGTGAGAACGGTACCGGTGCTCTTCAAGCACGACTGGATGTACATTCTGGGCATTGTGGCGCTCAGCTGGAGCAGCGGCTACCTCAGCAGTCTGACGATGATCTACGCGCCAAAGGCGGTTCCAAAAAGCCTCGCAGCCACTGCTGGCATGCTCGGTGCTCTGACCATCATTGTCGGAATTCTCATCGGCATCAACACCGCCTTGATCTATCCGAGGTTGTTTAGTAAAAGTTAAATAAATGTTTTCTGTTGTTTAGGAATAAAAAAAACTTCAATTGAGAAAATGGTGCATTTGGCATCTTTGCAGCAAAGAAAATAACAACAAAGTAGTTCTTATGTAGTTTATTCTCTAGAACGAAAAATGTACAAGCAGAGAAAGAGCGACATCACCTTTTAAGTAATTTATAAAATATAATAACATTTGATTATCTTCCCAGCACCATTGAGTTGAACATTTCCAGTGACACTTCTGGCTTATCTGAAAACGGTAAACAAAACTTGTTGTCAAACAGTTTGCTGTTTTGAAATTAGTCTATGATTACCACTTGGAGACATGTGTCCGGCATCAAAGATGCGAATAAAAGTAAGATTCTTCTCGTATCGATACAGAGTGCCCACTGCGGTGCCATTTAGGTACCAGTTTTCCTCAAACGCAAGATTTCGAAAGCCTAACTGATCGACAAATCTGCCAACAACGAAAAATTGTTAGGAGATCACAAAGAAAGTGAAGCCCCAAAGTATAAAACACTCACTGCTGTGCTGCAATCCAATTGCAAACAATGTCCTGATCACCGCTGTAGATGATAACCTGATGATCAATTGGAACAGTTGAGATAATAATAATAGCATTAAGAATAACAGCCTCCTTCACCTTGACGCCCGAGTTAACCAGAAACTTCACCTCGACGGACATGTTCTTCCCCTGGCTGTCCTGCTCATCGTAGTCCATGTAGTCGCTCTTTAGCAACGAGCAGATGGTCCAGTTGCCGACGCCGCTGTCCTTCTGCACGTGAATCGCCTCCTGGACGTCGGCTCGGTTGAGGTACTCCGTGAGGACCACCTCGTTGCCGCACGGCGGCAGCTGGTCGACGGGCACCGTCCGCACGACCACCCCATCATCGACGGTGCCCACCTGCGAGGGATAGGTGGCGACGCACTGCTTGCGAATGTGGTACTTGTAGATGGTGTTGTTCGACCGGAGGTCCACGTTCAGACTGACCGTGCGCGTGAAGCCCTTCAGATTGTTCTGCAGAATGTAGTTCAGCGTGGTGCTCTTCTCCAGGTACGGGTCAAGGTAGGCGTTGCCCACGGCGATACCCTTAAAGTTGGGCGGGTACTTCCGCCGGACCACCTCAGTGCCAAGCTCGGGAATGTAGCGGCCGGCGTATGACTCGCCTGGGATGATTTGAATTAGCACACCACTTCTTTACATCAACTCTTTCTAGTCCTATTCATACCCGTGATGTAAAAGTCGTTATTCTGTAGATGGGGAAACTTTGCAAAAAAGCTCCTCACTGCTGCAAAGTTTGCCTTGGCGGTGTCCAAATCATTGGTACGGTACTTGATTGTGCCTGGCCGATAGGAGAAGCCCGTTCCGGCGGGTGATTCGAGAAAGAGCAAATTTGCCTTCTGATTCCACGAGTACGGGTGCTTGCTGAGAGAGCCGTTCAAGTTGACGCGAATCGGCCCTAGCTCAGAAAACAGTCCAAACAGTGAGCTGCAGCCTAGATGAGTGGATGAGTGCTCATTAAAAACTATTTTTAATGTGAAAAAAAGTTAAAACAGAAAAAAAGTTACCCGGACCACCGTTGAGCCAGAGAACGACTGGATCACCGGCCGGATTGGCCGACTGCGACTCAAAGAACCAGTAGAAAAGCTTATCTCTGTCCAGGGCCTCCAGGTAACCGGAGTAGTGCGCCACTCCAAGTGTCTCGGTGAAGCCGGGCACGACGGTGACCCGATCTCGATGGCTGTCAAAGTTGGTCGGCGCAAAGTGGTCCAGCTGTCGATCTTTGCTGTATTTACCGTACTCGCGGTAGATGAAGATAAAGATGACGGCCATGACACCGAGCAGAAGCGAGAGGATCACGCCGAGCAGCAAACGTCGCAGTGACATCTTGACGGCAAGTGAACTTGGCGGCAAATGGAAGCACTTGGAAACGACTGCTCAATTTTTTTCCGACTTTCAATTGTCAACTTCAACTCTGCACTTTTGCAGTCTGCTGTCGGTGCACACGCTCAAGTGTGGGAGGCTATCACAAAGTGTGGAGGCAAGTTTGGCTCAGTTTTGATTTCGGTTCTGTCGCTGTGCAAATAATAATGAAAATACTAATAATGCTGACCGGTGGTAGTCGCCTTGCTGAAGGCGAGGAAAGCGGCAAAAGGCCTGGAGATCAGGGCGCACGATTGTCTGACAGATAGCTTTGCTTTGATGGCACTACAGAAGGAGAAAAGTGAAAAGTTGTCGAAGAAGAAGAAGAAGGAGAAGGAGAATGAGAAGAAAAAGCACCAGTGAAGAGTGGAAGGTCGTACTGGAGGGACTGTGGTAGTGCAATCTTAGCGTGAAGAGGTATTAAGGCACCAAATTGCGAATGGCTGAAGTGGCGGAGGGAGTTGGTGGTAGTGGCGGTAGTGGTGGCGGTGATGGTGATGATTTAAAGTCAATATTTGCCGGTGCCCATTGTCCGTGCAGAAGGGGGCACAGGCCNTGGAAGGTCGTACTGGAGGGACTGTGGTAGTGCAATCTTAGCGTGAAGAGGTATTAAGGCACCAAATTGCGAATGGCTGAAGTGGCGGAGGGAGTTGGTGGTAGTGGCGGTAGTGGTGGCGGTGATGGTGATGATTTAAAGTCAATATTTGCCGGTGCCCATTGTCCGTGCAGAAGGGGGCACAGGCCACTTTGATCTAAACTTCTTTCCACGCCGCCGAAAACGACGACGAAGAGGCCGAGGGCTGCTTCTAGCTAATGGTATCACTTTTGTTCGCTCTACCAGTCTCTGTTTACTCCGAATCTGATGATGCCCTGGCCGACTGGCTGCTGTTGGTGCGCGGGCAGCAAAAATAGTGTCGAGTTTGCATTTCGCCGGGCGAGTGGCCACCACGGCGAGAAGTCACTGCCAAAGTAGCATCGCTGCTATATACGCTCTGTCCCATTGGCCTTGATGCCTTGGATTGTGCACTTGAATTGGCCGATTGTCATCGGAACGAGATGTTTCCACTTTAGCAAC